CTGTAGGGATCGCCAGGGGCAAACCACAGTGCCAAGGCTGGAGCCGTGACCTTGGCTTTTCCTTCCCCATAGTCCCTGGAACCACTGACTTCCAACTCTGGGCCTATTAAACAGTTTAGTACATGTATTTTCCCTACTTCCTGGCCCCAAGCCCCCAACGGGAGTAACGGGTACCACCAGGCAGAGCAGGGCTCAGAGAGATCCAGGTTTGAAGCCAAGCAGCATCCTTAATAATTTGGACAAGCAACTTGACCTTTCTAAGCCTCAGTTTTCTTGTCTGTGAAATGGGATTAATGGTAATTATCTCTCAGGGGTAGTTTTAAGTGAATAATTATGTAAAAACTTAGTGTGATGGCTAAAAATGCCTGTATCTAGGGATTTCTGACCACCTGCCTAGGCGTTTGCAAAAGAGATTGCGTTGTAGAATTCTGTTATAGTTTAGGGTCCCATAGAGTGGCCAAACCTCCCCGTCCCCTAGCTGATATTGGGGCCAAGCTGTGTTACAAGAAAAGATCAGTCGGTCTTTCTTTAGGTTTTGAGGATCAAGCTTGACCCATTAGATAGGATATGTCTTAAGGGGGTACCAGCAGGAATGGACTCTTTATTCCCCATCTAGAAAAGTGGGGAGAGTGCTGTAAGCTGCGGTTTCTTGGCATAAGCCTGGCAAAGGAACACAGGTGGTAGACTAGACTGCCGACCCCTCTTCTAGGGGGTAAGAAAGAGTCTTAGTAGTTCCTGCGTCCTTCTGGGAGCTGAGAAGCCTTAGCGGGGAGCTGAGGGGTTAAACAGGGGCAGCCATTCCCTGGGAGTGAGCTGGGAAGTGGCTTGTTCCACCCTTAAAGTGGCTTTCAGTACCCCGACCCCTCCTCTTGCCCTGCTCAGGAAAGAGGCTGGAGAGGAAAAAAAAAAACACACAACTGAGATATCAGGCTCAGGCCTTACATGGCGGCTGAAAAACCGGCCTGAGTTTTAAAGTGTCGCCCTTATCCCTCTGCGTTGGAGAGGCAGGCACGCTGCCGTTCCTGCAGCCTGTAGTGAGTTTGAGCAGCGGGTTAATTACCTACTGTTCCCAGGACCTAGTAGCTCCTAGGTCTAGAATCTACAGTGTTTCAAAGACGTGTATGCTTATTTTTCCTTCTTATTTCTTTTTCCACTTCCATTTTCCTTCTTGAGTTACCTATTGCAATGTCCTTCCTTCCCATAATGAATTTCTTTCCTTTATTCCTTCTTACCCTTCACTTTCACAATCCTTCACTTTAATTCTTTCTTTCTCCTCACGTTCCTAATTCTTTCTTTTTCTGTTCCTTCCGCCTTCACAATCCCTCTTCAACTGGCACAGGTCATCCACAACTCACACATCCTTCTGCAACTCACACATCCTTCTGCATCTTACATACACAACATTCTAAAACAAGCACAAGCCTTCTCAAACTTAAGCCTGATTAGCGTGCCAAACATTTGACCTAAGGAGTGTATTATGAAATAAAAAAGAGGGAAACTTATGAATGAAGCAAGTTTAAGTGAAGAAAAGGCACAAATAAGAGAAAAGAACCTGGAAAAGCCAGCACTTCCCGCTGAAAGCTAAAACCTTGGTTCCTCCTCTCGAGAACGAACCCTAAGTGGGGAATGCGCCGCAGGGAGGGGAGGGTGCTTTTACCGTGTGCCTCTTGCTGCGTGGACTTCTGCTTGTGGCTGGCAGGTTTCCTAGCGTTCAGTCCCGGTCGCAATCCCAGCTTATCCTCTCACAGTGTCTTTGGGGCAAGTGCCCTTGTGGCTTTTAATGCTCAACCCGGGCCCATGGGGTGGGGTGAGGCAATTTCTCGAGAGGGAGAGAGCAAGACATTCACCTGGTAAAGGGAACATTGCCTCTCCTTGCAGCTACTGCAAGAGGGATTTGGATGCGAATTGAAGTGCTAGATAAGAGAGATGTGGCAAGAAGCCAGCTAGGGGTGGAAGATGCTGCAAGAGGCGACCTGGGAGAGAGAGATACTGCAAGCTTACAACACGCCGATGATCTAAACTGACTTTTCTTTTGGTCAAGTTTCGAGGCAGAAAAGGCTAAGGAGTCCATGTGGTGGGTGATGGGAGCTCCCTACAAGGCCCCTGCGCAGCTTAGGGACGGACCTCAAACACCTCCGCCGGGCCCGCTCACTCAGGGTGGCCCCGAGACCCAGGGCCAGAGGGAGAAAGTGCCTCTTTTGTTTTCGGACCCCGGGCGGAACCCGAGCACTCATTCCGGATTTCCTTATTTCTACCTCCAATCACAAGCCTAGCCCGTTTGAATACTGCACCCCCACAGCGCAGCACCTCCCTTACCTCAAAGGCGAGAGACCGCACTCACTGCGTTCCAAAGGGCTGGAGACAAAAAGGGTGAGATCTGAGAGGCACAGTCCCTCCCGGCACCAACTAATGTTACAGGAGAAACTCGGTTCTTGCGGACGCAGTAAAGAATTACAGATCCGCAAGCTTCCGAGCGTGCAAGCAAAGTTTATTAGTGGTAAGTTCTAATGGGAGAGCAGATGCAAGGGTGGCCGGAGCTGGGGCAGGGTGGGGGGCAGAGGCCCAAGAGAGCGAGGCCTTAGTTCTAAAGACTTACATGGTTTTGGGGATGGGGGCTAGGGAGTTACACATGGATGGGGGTAAAAATGGTGCTAGTCCCCCCGCCCCCCACCCCCGGCCCCGCCGCCCTGCGGAGACGTGACTACCAATGTAGGCGTGTGTCGGTCGGTAGCTGTCAGCCCGAATCCTTGTCTCCCTCCAGACTCCATGTGTTCATTTTGTGAACATAACAGGAGGCAGGCAATAACCATAGTTGTTTCATGGGCTGTATCTTTGGGCACTGTGGACCCCTCCCCTTCCCTCTTCCAGGCCTGGGGATGAATGCACAGTCTCAAGGTTTTCCTCTTTCCAGGAAGCGGAGAAGATACACACAGACTTTCAAGGGTTCCCCACCCCCCACACACCCGCACTATCGTAGTTTTGCTTGCGTTGTTGGGAATGCCTTACAATGTTACTGACCCCGGCTCAGGACTGCTGGGTCCAGAGGGTCTCCCTCCTCCTCCCTGCCTTGGCTTGCCGCCTATCCTACCTAACAGACAGACGTGGGTTCAGGTGCCAGAGCAGCCCTGTCTGTGCGGGAGGGGGACAAGGGTGGAGATTGGAAGCAGGAAATGGGGAGAAGAAGAGAGAGACTGGCATGTGGCTGTTTCAAAGGAGTCCGGGCTGGAGCATTAGACAAGCCTACAACCACCACATGAGGTGGCTTAGCTGGGCCCACCCACATCCCCAGTTTCAGAACACCCCTGCCCCCCAAGACTCTGTCCTTCATCTAGGCTGGAATGTTCTGGAATCTGCAGAATCCATTGAGAATGGCTCTGAAGCTCTGGCAGACCTGGGTCTGAATCGCAGCCCCATCCCTTACCACTTGGGTGAGGCCGGTCATGTCATTTAACTTCCCCAAGCCTCAGTTTCCTCCTCTGAAAAATGGGTATAGTGGTTGCTCCCTCGGGTGATTTCTGGGGGGCGAATGGGAGCGCAGATATCCAGAGGCCAGCGCCCTGCCTGGCGCATACTCGCTCCCCCGCCGCCCACCCCGCAGCGAGTCTGCTGCCACCGGAGGCCCTGGGTCTCAGAGCGCTCCAGGCTTTGTCCCCAAGGGACCGGGGCTTCCTGGGAAAAAAGCGGAGAACTTGGAGTTTGAGGAGCACAGTGGGTTTGACCCTGTGTGTTCTGTGGTGGCTACGGTTCTCTGCCAGCTTGGGGCCTCATTTTTCACATCTACAAAATGGAGGTCGTAACAGTTTTTCCATTTTAAGGTTGCCGTGACGATTAAATGAGACATCGCATGCAAAGTGCCCGGAACCCAGTAGGAGACGTTATAGTTCTAATGTTGCCATCATTAAATATTTCCCAGTTTCTGCACTTTGCTGATGTGGACAGGGCAGAGGGTGTTTGGTTTCCAAGGTTACAGCATCTCGGCCAAAGGTCATCGGTGCGAGGAGTGTGCGTCTGGCCTGGCCACGCCCTCCCCGCGACGTCAGGAGCAGGAGTTAGCATCTTACGGTGGTCATGTCAGCAGCCCAGGCTGACGATCCCATATCCCAGAGAGTCACCCAGTGAGTCAGAGCCCGCTAAGCTCACCCCAGCCTCGATCGCAGATGGATCTCATTCCACCAGTAATTCCCTCAGGGATCGGTTGCTGCCTGTTGCCAGGGGACCCCTCTAGTCTCTGCGTGGGCACCTTCCCTGGTCAGAGTCGGGAGCCTCTGGCCTCTGTGCTCCAGCACCTATTCACCTTCCACTGCCCTGGTTTGATTCCTGCTTCAGTCACGTACCAGCAGTGCAAACAGGACCCACTGGATCCCCGTCTCTGCCCTCGGGTTCCCGCGAGGGGACATAACGACCCTGTCTGACTGATTATGTTGTGGGACTGAGGAGAGTCTGATGAGACTGTGTTTGGGAAAGCCCCATGGGACCTTAAAATGATAGAGATATGAGCAAAGTGAGATACTCGGTCCAACGTCACTTTGGGCACTCTCTCTCCGTCTCTGGTCTCGGCTTTCTTACCTGTGAAAGGAGGGGCTTGGGGCGCTCGGCATTCCCAGAGTGGGCACTCAGGGAAGGAAGGTCTGTATTTAAACACCCTCAGTACACACTTACCTGTGACTGTCCTTGTGTGCTTGCGTATCAAAGACTAAGAGAAGCCTGCAAGAACCACACCTAGGTGGCTTTGATCGACCCAGATTTAGTAAACTGATTACAGAGCCTTGTTATTATGATTATTACTACTACTACTACCATTATGGCTGTCCTGGTTATTTGTAGTAACTGTTCTGTGTAACTCTGTTTACCTGCCTTGAACTACCCCTTGCAAAGCAGGGGGCAAGCAGGGGAATGAGGACCCTCGTGGCTCTGGTCCCCCTGGACCCACCAGCACTGTGCGGGGCAGGCCCAGGCTGGGCAGGGGTCCGGGGGTCACACTCTGCCTCTGTGTCCCCCAGGTGCCTTCCTGATCCCCTACACGCTGTTCCTCATTATCGCTGGGATGCCCCTCTTCTACATGGAGCTGGCGCTGGGCCAGTTCAACCGGGAAGGGGCAGCCACGGTGTGGAAGATCTGCCCGTTCTTCAAAGGTAAAGCATGGGCCTGGGGGGCCAAAGTTTGTCCAGAGAGACTTCCATGGGCCCCTGGAGAACCTGCTTCGAAGGTGGCATCTGAGGTAGTCCCCTACTCAAAGGTACATGGAGAGACTTTGGTGCTTCACGAATCGCTTTAGCCTAGAAAGTCTGGAAACTCGACTTTCCAGTCCAGGCTCTACAGCCGAGTGCCCAGAGGGTGTCTGTTTTCTGTGGGGAATACAGAGCGTCAGAAGTACCCAGCGCCCGTACCACCCCTCGCCCCTCTTGCTCCCATGGCAGGCATGATAAATAGATCATAGATCAGTCCAGGCTCAGCCAGGAAGCTGCCTCACAATCCTTAATACAAGAGCCACAACTAATCGATCACAGCTGGGATATGAGAGGAAGCCTGCTTGCATTTGGGGCTTAGGGCGCATCTGGAGGAACTGGCCAGAGCAGCTGCCATTTCTTGGCCCCTTTACAGCCGTGAGAAGGACGTGGAGTAAGAATTAGTGTCTCCCAAGCACTGTTTAGGGAGCTGGGCCCAGGGGACACTGAGCACCTATGTGAGTCTGCTGAGCCTCTTCTCAGCTGGCACGTGTCCCCTGAGCACCTCCCACGCGCCCAGTCCTTCGGTAGCTACCAGCTGGTACAAGAGGCTGTAAGGTGTCAGTGTATTAGCTAGGAACTATTTTTTTATTTCCAGAAATCCCATTCAAAGTGGCTTGAATATAAAAGAGAATTCATTGGCTATGCTATGATAAAGTCCAAGGATCAGGAATTTCCTGCTAGCTTTAGGTACAGCTTGATACATGTTCTTTTCTTAAAATTGATTTTTAGAGAGAAGAAGGGGGCAGAGAGAAAGAGAGAAACATGGATTTCTTGTTTCGCTTATTGATGGCATTCATTGGTTGATTCTTGAATGTGCCCTGACTAGGGATCAAACCTGAGATGTTGGCATATTAGGACAATATTCTAACCAACTGAGCCAACTGGCCAGGGCCCTTGAGCCAGGTTCTTGAAAAATGTTATTTGGAAACTCTCGCCATCCTTCTCCAGCCTGTTTTGGTCAGCGTCAGCTTCCGTCTCAGGTACAGTCTCTTCAGGTGCTAGCAAATCTGGCCATCAGCAACAAGATTAAATCCTACCAAATTTAACAAAGACAAAATAAAACAGAAACCTCTTATATCACCACTGCTTCATTAAAGGTCCCAGAAAGGACTCTCATTGGTTCGACTTGAGACACATGCTTATTTATCAACCAATCACTGTGGCTGTGGGGAAGCAGAGCTCTGATTGGCTGAGCCTGAGTCATGTGCCTACAGCAGATGAGGGAAGTGAGGGATTAGCCTCATTCAAGCCTTACTTAGGTGGTAAGAATACGTGAGGCCACTCTCTTAAAGCCATGCTGAGCAGGCAAAAAATATGCCTACTGCAGGCAAAAGCTGTAGAACTCGCCCTAAAGGAGCTTCTGATGCAGCCAGGAAGATGAGATTGGCACACGAAGCAGGTGCTCGAAAATAGGACCCTGAGGAAACACGGGGCGGAAGTTCTGAGCAGGGCGGGCTTGTTTGGGGTTCCCCAGAAGCAGGTTCTGAGACAAGGATTTCAATGGAAGGAGTTATTTGGGGGGCAGGTGATCCCGGGAAACACCAGTAGGGGAGAGGGAAGAGGAGGCAGCCAACGAGCCAGCTCCCCCATGGGCCAGGGGCTCGGCGCCACTGGCAGAGAGAGGTAACACGGCTCACTGTCATCCTGCTCAAAGCGAGGGAGCTGGGCTACTTGTGCTCCAATGCCTGACCCTGCTGCTCCCCGGGGACACTCAGGTCGTGGCTCACCTGGCCTGCCCGACGTGTGGGCAGAGGGGGGACTGCAGTGGCGAGGGAGAGCTCTTGGGCAAAGGCATGGCAGGTGCCTAGGAGACACAGGGGGGGCTCTGGCAATTGGCTACAGAAAAAGAGAGGTGTGCGGTCGGGTGGTGCAGTGGTTGGAGTCGCCCCACCCACCCGCACCTCCCCCACCCCGAAGAAACCTGGCTCTGGGCTGGGCCCAGGGAAGCCCTGCTTCACCCCTCTGCCCCCACCCAGGAGTCGGCTACGCTGTGATCCTCATCGCCCTCTACGTTGGCTTCTACTACAATGTCATCATCGCCTGGTCCCTCTACTACCTCTTCTCCTCGTTCACCTTCACCCTGCCCTGGACCAACTGTGGCCACGCCTGGAACAGCCCCAACTGCACGGACCCCAAGCTCCTCAACGCCTCCGTGCTGGGCAACCACACCAAGTACTCCAAGTACAAGTTCACACCGGCAGCAGAGTTCTACGAGTAAGTCCTCCACCCCGTCCTGACGCGCGGGCACCCTGAGGCCTGTGCTGGGCAGCCCTGAGCCAAGCGCTAAGGAGAGCCACAGGAGCCATGCCAGTCATCACTTGTAAGGTGTGCTGACCCGGGGCTGGAGCTGAGGATTCAGCCGTGGGCAAGGGACCGGGACGAGAGTGTGTTCAGGCACAGGAGAGGGGGCGTGGAGAGACAATACCTGAGGGATCAGGTAAAGAAGCAAGAATGTTTTAGAGAGTGGACATGCCATTGAGGAAATAAAATGCATTCGGGGGAGTGGAAGTGCCCTTAAGGAACAAAAACCAGGTAGGTGGGAGCAAGTGATTGTGGGGGTAAAGGGAGTCAGGGAGGGCTTCTATGAGGAGGTGTCCTGAGAACTGATGAAGTCAGCCAGGGCGATTGTGTTAAGAGTTCCTCTGAGATTCTAATAGCCAGCCAAGGTTGGGAGCCCCTGGCTTGGCCCCTGCACTGTCCCACCTCAGACAAAATGAGATTCTTGCGGGGGTCAGGCTGACGGCCCCACAGTGTCGTGTCATGGGAAATCTACAGCCTCCTCCACTCTCTCCGGAGGAGCATTGCCACAGAAAATGCCAGAACCTTTGGAGAGCATGTGGGCAGAGGTTTTAGGCCTTCCTGTGGTTTGGACGAGGGGGAGAGGGGGCTGCTGATAACGTGTGATTGATTCCACGCTTGCCCTGTTATCATTGCCTGGTGAAGGGAAAAGCCCGACTTCTCCTTTCTGCTCGTGGCGAACTTTGTCCTTACAAGTGAAATGGAAAAGGACAGCCTTGCCTCCAGTCCAGTTATTATTTGATTCCTCCTCTGCCGTCTTAAGGGCCAGCAGGTCCGCCCCAGCCCAGACGCCCAGCAGGAGGGAGAGGCGAGCTGAGTTTCCAGACGCTGCTTACACACTTTAATCACAGCCCTAAACTTCCTCCAGGCTCAGCTGTGAGCAGAATGTGGTGGGAAAAGATGACATCCTTATGCGCGGGGCTGACGGGCTGGGAGTGGGAGTGGGGAGCAGAGCCCAAGGCTCATTGTAGCAGCGCGTTCCTCTCTCCTCCCCTCCTTTCCCTTTCCCGCCCCTCCCCTCCGCTCTGCTCTCTTTTTAAGCCCTGCTCCTCCCCTAAGCTTCATAGTCACCAGGAGTCAGGCGCCAAGTATCCCTTCCCATCCAAGTCCCATACAGTCATCACAGTTCACGTCGGTGGAGGTCACTCCCATTTTATAGCTAAGGTCGTGAAGGCTCAGTGTCCCGATAAGAGGCAGAGCCAGCAGCAGAACCCTGGCTGCTGAGTTGAGACGCTCCCCCCCGCCCCCGCCCACAGGTCTCCCCCACCCCCGTCTTTCTCCTCTTCCTGTCCACATCTGCTTGGGGTGTCCTGGGGACAGGTGTGCAGGAGTCCGTCCGGGTGTTCAGGAGTCCACCCCAAGCCCCACGTTCCCACCTGGAACCTGCTTTCATGAGCTCCGAAGTCCCTGAGTCACGGGCTGCCTCTGAGTTTTTCTTTTAATGGCAGGCACATGGCCCCATTATCCAAATGTTTGTACTTTAAAAGCCATCCTGTCTCAGTCTGGGGACCCAGCAAGTAGGACTCCGAGTGCCAACACTGAGGAGGTTAGCGGTTTCTCCTTCCTCAGAGCCTGCTGGCCAATTCTGTTACCATCTTGTACTCATTTAAGCTGACGGATTGAACGTATCATTCAAGGGAACAAAACCGCTATTCTCTCCAGGCTCCAGGCCTGACGCCGAACAGCGAGCAGCTCAAAGCAACCCCGATGCTCAGGAGCCGTATCTGTACAAGGGCGCGCTTGGTCAACGTGCCCCGGCCGTAGAGAACCTCTACCCCTGCCTGATCCTGGCGGGAGGAGAACTCCCCCTCCACCCCACCACCGACACCCTGCACTTAAATGTCAAGTGAAAAACTGAGCCCATTTGGCCCGTGGACTTCGGAGAGCCTGGACCGTATGCGTCACCGGGATTCATTTTCATTAGGTTGCTGGGGAAACTCCAGCAAACCCGAGCTATGTGTGTCCAGCCCAAGGCTTGGGCCTGCTGGGGAGAGGAGGCCGCGTGTGCATTCCTTATGGTGGGAGTCAGCCGGTTCACCCACACAACATCGCAACAGCCACTGCGGCCCTGAAGCCGGACGTCACCTGCCTGTGGGGTTCCCTGGGCCTGTTAGGGGCATTTCAGCCTTCCGATTGGATGCTAGAGGCATTCATACTTAGCCCATAAAGCAAAGGGAAGAAGCCGAATTAAGGTAGATGAGCTTGGTACCTGATTCTGGTTCTCTGTCTTTTTTGATATGTTCAGCGCCTGCCACTCTCCCCTCTCTCCTCCCCCCCTCTTTCCCTGCCCTTCCCTTTTCTCCTTCCTCTCTCCCTGTCTCGCCCTCTCCCTTCCCTCCCTCTCTCTCTTCCCCGACAGGAAAGGGGGCCAAAGTCAGGACATCATTTTTTTTGAGACTAGCAGAATAAGTTTGCCAGGCAGAAAAATCAAGCTGGGAAATGTGTTCTAGGTGAAAAGAAACATAAAGTCCCAAGGCCCAAAGTGACGAGAGCTTCCTGTGATTACGGAATGACAAGTGGCAGGCCATTGCCAGGAGCCGGGGGCAGGGCGCGGTGAGGCAGAGGTTCACAGGGCCATTGTGAAAGGCTTCGGATTCGGGAAGGCTTACGTTTTCATGCTTTCGACCAGGATTTCACAATCTCGAGACTTGACATCTGGGGCTGGATAATTTCATGTCCTGTGCATTTTGGATGTTCAGCAGCATCCCAGCCTCTGACCACTAGATGCCAACAGCACCCCCGCCCCGCAGAGGTGCCTCCAGACAGTGCCATGTGTCCCTGGGAGGCCAAGCCAGCAATGCCTCCAGTGAGAACCAATGTTTAAGTGCGAGGGGCCTCTGAGGGATTTGGGGGCAGGAGGGTGACAAGGTTAGAACAGAGCCCCCGATCGGTCAGGGGCTCCCCCAGTGGCACAGACTGGTGTAAGGGGCCAACTGGAACATAGAGGCGGGAGTCGTGGGGAGGCGGAGGGCGGGGCTCCTACACAGTCCCGGAGGAAGAGAGAGCGTGGCCCGGGACAAGGCCCATGAGGGCGGGAAGCTGACCAAGGGATAGGATAGGAGGGGCCAGACACAGAGACGCATTGCAGGGAAAACCGAGGCAGGGTGAGCCGTTTAAAGCTGCGACACCTGGCCTGGGGACCGTGGGGAGGTGGGCCAGGAGCAGGGCCTCGCGGGGGGGGGCCGTGGTCTCCCCTGCAGCTCTCCTCTCCCATTCGCGCACTGCGCACTTGCTGACTTGCGTGCAGGCCCACCTCCCCCTCCCCCGCACCTGCGCATCGCCTCTCAACTCACCTGTCCTCCCCCAGGCCAGAGAAGGGCCCCTCCTCCATGGAGCCCGCCCGCGACTCCCTGGCAGCGCTTTCTGGGCACTCCTTCGCTCCTCGGCAGGTGCCTGGTGCTCTGGAAAGGCAGGACGCAGTCCTGACGGCTGCTGTCACCCCTGCGCCACATCCCTGTGTTCGCGTGAATCGCAGGCACTGATTTGGAAAGAGTGAGCAGATGAGTGACTGCGTGGGCGAATCATACCCAGCCTCAGGGCGGCTCCCCATCCCCCGTCTGCCCCGAGCGGAGCTGAACTCCTGCCCAAGGCTGTGCTGGCCACGTTTCCAGGCTCGAGTGCAAGTTTTCCTCCCAGGTCTAGAATCTTCCAGGGTCTGATGCACGGCTTCCACTGAGGGCGGCCATCCGCCTTGGATTCTGCGGGCTCATCCAGCACCCAGGCTTCCGAAATATTTCAGGCCCGCATTTTATGAGCCTCTCACAGCCTTTTTTCCCTCTGGAACAGAAAGCCGATCCTATTTTGTCAGGAAAGTAAAGGCAGTTCCTGGAAGCCTTCAGTTTGCTCTAAAGAACGCTGGCCACTGGGGTGGGCCTGTCGATCGGTGGGTCTCAGCTCCGCCTGCCTGGAGGACCCCCGGGGAATTTCGGGGACGCTGGTACCCAGGCCCCGCTCCCTAGGGCTCTGATTTCCTTGGTTGACAGCGGGGCCCAGATCTCAGTCATTTATTTAAAACCTCAGCGATGACTCTGTTCTTGTGGCTAAGCCCCAAGGTGACATTTTCCTGACCTCGTATTTCTCTTTGGGGAGATGGGGGAAAAAGAAGAGAAGGAAAGCGGGTGGAGGGAGAGAGAGAATGGCTTTCCTCTAGCTTATCTGTTGCAGGGTGTAAAAGTCTGCCATCGATGTGTCCTTTGGGTCAGAGCAGTGCTCCAGGGAAGCACTCACTATTAAGCTGCGTTGCCTTTAACGCTGGTGCGAATCGATTCACCAGGCACCATCTAAAAGGACCCCTGGCTGAGGGCAGACCCTGTAGAGTGAGGCTCAGGAAGCTAAACTCGCGCAGGGGAATGGACAGTCACCCTGGGCAGCAGGAGACAACTGGGCAGAAGGGTGAGGGATTTACAAGTCGGGGGCGGGGTTGCTAAGAGAACAAGAGTGTAAAACTGACCCACTTTCCTTCTCAGTTCCCCTGGAGGTGAGCCTGGGCTCGTTTTCTTCCAGCAAGAAAGGTTGCTAGAAATCTCTCTCCTCATCCCAGGAGAGCCGTGGGTACAGGCAGCCCTAGCGTTGCAGGAGCAGGCCCTGCTTGGGACATGAGCCAAGAGCCACCAAACCGAAAGGGTTGACAGAAGTGTATCAGGAGTGATCATGGAGGCCTCCCGGAGGAGGGGACATTGGCGCTGGGCCTGGAAGGGTGTGGGGAAGCGTGTGCTGACTGCGGCCTCTGGGTGTGAGGTGCCGAGGAGGACTGGGCAGAGGCCAGTTCCGGGTACCACGCAGCTCCACGCATTGTCCCAACCCTTGGCAGGTGTCACTGTGATTGTGGGTTTAATGCTGCCTCCAGTGCTAGGACAGAAGTTCCACAAGGTAGGTACCGTGTGTGAGGGGCTCCCCCTGTCCCCATGGAGACAACTCTGCTTTCTTTGTCTTGCAAGAGTGTAGATTGTGGTGGGGAACTTCCCTCCCGTGGGACCTGGCCTACGAGTTCACGGATTGGTTTTATGGGGCCTTGGCTGGACCCTAACAGACTTCAGTAGATTCTAATGAGCAGTTGTCGCTTTGTCTGCCACCCTCTTTACCATTGTTCATCGTAGGTTATCTGCGGGCCCTGATATTCTCGAACCCCACGTGTATTTATCCTGTTTGTTTTTATTGAAGGGTACCATATTACAGAGAAGTAAATATTAGTAGGCGGCACCTCAACAAATGTCACACGCTGAACACAGCCACGTAACAAACTCCCAGACTGAGAAACATAACCGGCTAGTGTCCCAGAGGCCCCCCTGCCTCCCTCGCAGTCAGGGTCCCCAGCCCAATTCAGGGTCCACCTTTCCTGGCTTCTGACTCCGTAGGTCAGTTTGCCCGATTGCTCTACTTTGCCTGAATGGGACCGTACAGAAAGCAAGCGCTCTTTTCACGCTGATGTCTTTCTCATAGAATCCCGTGTGCGCGAAGGCGCGTGTGAGGATTCACCCACACCGAGCCTGTTGCTGTATAATACTCCATGTTACAACTATATCGAAATTGATCCATTTTACTGTTGATGCATGTTTGAGTATTTGGCAATTGGGGTGATTGTGAATAACGCTGCTATGAACGTTCTAGAACGTGTTTTCTGGAGACCATATGTCCACATTTCTGTGGGGTAAACGCCCAGGAGGGGATTTGTTAGGGCACAATGGGCGCACACCTTCAGCTTCAGCAGATATTCCAGATGGGAGAAATGTCGACCCTTGTCTCGGCCTCTGGACCGGAGATCCCTAACCTCAGCAACATGGCGGTTTTGGACCAGATAATTCTTTGATGTCCACGGCTGTCCTGTCCATTGCAGTATGTCCCTAGTCTATTCTCTAGATGCCAGTAGCAACCCCCCTCCCCACGTTGTTCTTGTCTGGGAAGACATCCCAGACATTGCCGAATTTTCCAATGTCCCCTGGGGGGTGAAGTGTCCCGGCCGCTCCTCGAGAGCCCCGCCGTTCTGACTATGAGGGCGGGATCCTCCCTGTCCTTAACTGTCCAGGACCAGGCCTGCGGGAGGCACGGGGAGGTTTTTGTTCCTGCTGAAAAGGCAGCCCTGAGCGGGTCTCTCCCAGGAGCCTTGCTGGCCCTGGGAAGGGCAGTGCTGGGCACGGGCCGCGATGCACAGAGCAGCCCCAGGTGACGCAGGGCTGCGGCCTGTCTCCCTCACGTGTACCTGTGGGGATGGGCCCGCGGTGAAGCCCCAGGCCGTGCTCCCTGACTGATGGCGGCTCCCCGGCCTCCCCCGTCCCCTGGCAGGCGCGGCGTCCTGCACCTTCACGAGAGCAGCGGGATCCACGACATCGGCCTGCCCCAGTGGCAGCTCCTGCTCTGCCTCATGGTCGTTGTCATCATCCTGTTCTTCAGCCTCTGGAAGGGAGTGAAGACGTCAGGAAAGGTAGTGTCTTTGTTCCTCTTTCCGTTGGGAGGTCGGCCTCAGACAATTAATTTTTCTAGCTGGGACTGTTAGTTGGTGACAAGCAAAGGTGGGACGGGACGCACGGAGCCTGGGTTTGCTCCCAGCTCTGCCACTGTCTCCCTGCGAAACCTGGGACAAATCCCTTCCCTTCCCCAAGCCCAGGCTCCCCAACAGTAGGGTCAGGGTTACAAGGGGACCAGGGCACTCACGCTTTTCCGCCAAAGCTCCCTTAAGGGACTTGGAAATGGGACACCCCAAGGGCCTTGGGAAAAAGCCAGTTGGTCCCCTGGCACAAAGAGCAACCTATTGACATGGGTTTGATGTATTTTGAATTCTGGCTTAAAACTTCATGCCAATGTCCCCTCCTACGTGGAACCTAACCATTGCTTCACTGTGAAACCAGTCGTTGCCCCTTCAGAATCTTTGAGTAAAAGAGAATGCTCTAGAAGATATCTCTGTGCCCTGGGGCCTCGTGCTTCCTCTGTCACAGCGCTGCATGCCCCAAGGGTCGCGGTGTTCTGGAGAGAGGAGCACTGCGCCAGGTGACCTTAGAGGGCCTGGCCAGAGTTAGCATTCTGAACCTAAGTGTCACCTCCCCCTACAGCCAGCCCCGCAGGGTGCAGTACACCAGGCCCCTATTGATCCTTAGGCTGAGGAACACACCACCCATTTGGACCCGATGGGTTCCACATGGAACTTGACTGCATTAAAGAGGAGGCAGCTGGGGCCGCTCTCTCCAATGTTTTGGCTAGTTATTGCTGGGTAACAAAACCGCCCCAAGGTGTAGTGATGTAAAATATCAACCATTCTGTTCTCTCTCCTGATTCTGCGGGTCAGCTGGGATCAGCTGGGTGGTTCTTCCGCTCTGTGTGATGTTACCTGGGTTACAGAACTGGGGGCTCGGCTGGGCTGGAGTGTACAAGATGGTGCACGCGTGATGGCAGTTGGTACTGGCTGGGGGCTCAACTGGACCTGTCAACCAGAACAACTTGGGTTGTTTCCACAGAGCCTCTCCCTGTGGCCAGGGCAGCCAAGTTCCAAGTGCATGTTCCTAGCAGGTGGGCCCTGATGTGCAAGTATCTCTTCCAGTCTCTGCTTGCATCCTGTTTGTATTGCCCCCGTGGCCAAGATAAGTCTTGTAGGAGGGGCCTCCGCATTGGTGTGGGCTTGCTGGGGGTCACAAGGCAACCATCTGCCATAATCAGGTAGACAGGATTTTGTGAGGTACTTCATGAGATGACAATTTTGGAAAGCAGGGTGTATCAGTGGTCTCTCTGGCACTCTTAGCATTCTTGGTCATGCCATTGAAGGCAAAGATAGAGGCAGGGGGCCAATAGCCAGGGGAGGGGAAATCTCTCAGGAAGAGTTTGAAGTGGAGCTTCCTATCAGCATGTTGGAGACACAGTATCTGTCCCAGGGAAGAACCCCTATAGGATGCAAGTCTGGGAGGAATTCCAGAGCGGAGCAAAACCAGGTGAGGACCACCACCATCCAGCATCTGGCCCATGGTAGGCCATCAGCGAATACTTATCGAAGCGTGAATGAGGGAAGGTAGGAAGAAAGGAAGAAGAGAGGGTGGGTAAATAAGTTTGGGGACTTTTGTTAAATGTTCTGTTGAATTCAGTTCAACTTACTAAACATTTATGGACACCTTCTATGTACCAGACTTGACACTAGTACCAGCGATGCAAGAATAAATAAGATGGATTCCTCCTTCCGTTGCTCTAGAGCCCACGTGTACTGGAGACGGGTGGCTCGACTAATGACACTAGTGTCTGGAGTCTCTATCCAGAGCCACAGTTGTGTCCCCCTTTAAATAAACATAAATACTCACAAACTATTAATAAACATTATTAAATAAAAATTAATGGCCACACGCTATTCTAGATCTTGCTTTTTTGAATTTAAATTTACCTTGGAGATAATTTCACATCAGGTAGTCATGTTGCACTGTAGCACAGACACAAACGGTGGGTTGCTGAACTGTCATTAAATCAATGTCATCAGTCTCCACAGTTTTTAAAAAAAATAAAATAGGCTATAGCAGAAAGGAGTTTTCAGGGGAGGAGCCTGAGCAAAGGCACAGAGGTGCAAAGTCCTGACCAGCCTCCGGGTGCTTCCCCCGGGCATAGGGGGCGGGGCTCCCCAGCACAGGGGGCGGGGCCTTCCTGGCCTCTGTGGGTGTGAGAAGTGAAGATATAGGAGCCCAACTGCTGCCACTGGCCTGAGGGTGGGACCACTGCAGGCTTCTAACATTCCACCCTGAGATTAAGTTCCCCATAGCCCTCACCAGAGGGGTGGAGCCTGCCTGCCCAGTTTAGCCCTGGGCCGGAGCTGGAGTAGAGCAAGAACTGTCTGCAGGGAGAGTGATGTTAATGAGAGAAAGGGCTGAGCATGCAGCTCCTCTGGGCAAAGGCACCCTTCCGCTGGGGAGAGACTGGAAGGGCGGAGCAGGAATGTGGCACCAGAAAAGCCCCCCAGGTGGAAACACGTCAACAGAATCCACAGCCCACATTTGCGTAAGTCCCCCAGTCCACAGGGAGGGACTTCGCGTAGGACATTCTTGTGCCCTGTCTCTAATTGTTTTTATAAACTGGCTCAGGAGAAAAACAAGAGCGCTGCTTATTTCTTCCAGATTGCATGTGGAATAGGGCCGCGGCTTTCCCCAGCGGCCCCCACGGCCACAGAGCAGCCTGAAATGGAGCGCAAAAGTTCGCACTTCCCCGCCACTCTGTGGCCACTCCACTGCCGCCTGCTGGGACGATGGCGGCGGCGTGCAGTCTGGACCAGGGAAAGGGGTTACCCCAGACCCACATCCTGTAACCTGGACCCATGACCACCCCACGGTAGAGGGTGGAGGTCTGAGTCAGGAGTTCGCGGGCGGGCGGGGAGCCTGGCAAGAGGGTGCATATCCCGTTGTTGTCCTGGAGCCCTGCCTGCCTCCCCACTCCCAGCCCTTGGCTCAACCGGCCCTTAGCAACTACAAGCCCAGGAAGCCGGCACCTGCTGCGCACCTGGGAGATACTCAGGGGCCATCCACTCCGACCTGCTTGTAGAAATGGGGAAACTGGGGCCCAGAGAGGGGAAGGGTTTCACCACAATCTTTAGCATGGCCAGGACTTGAACCTGGGTCTCAAGTACACAGCAGAGGGAGTGATCACGCTCGTGGCCTAGTGGTCCGACCACCCGCGTCAAAGTCCAGGCACCATCATGTCCTACGGGTGACCTCAGGATTAACGGTGCCCGCTAAGCTTTCGTGTTCTCACCTGTGAAGTGACAGCAAGTATTGATGGCACCAGCCTGCAGGGCTGTCCCAGAGGGTGGAGTGAGAGGTCCTCAGTGCAGGGCTGGCGGACGGAAATTGCTCACTTAATGACCCTTGTCACTCTTTGTCCGTCATTAGCACTGCTGCTGGTGCTCAGTGGGTTTCAGACTTTCTGCGGGGCTGGAAGGAAGGGGCAGCCCAGGCCCCCACGGCCCTGTCTCCATGCTGAACCAATCTCTCTGAAGCCTTGGACCTCTTTACGCCTGGAGATAAGTCAGGACAAGAGAGCTGGCCGGGGTCAACCACCACACGCTGCCCCATTCACGGCCAGGCTCCAAGCTGTCTGGGAAACGGGACGAGACAGAGCGCATTCTCAAATTCTCGTGAAGTTGGTGGGGTCAGGGAGAGAGAAAGCTGGACCAATTCAAGGTACACCTGACGTCCAGAATACTTAATAGAAACGTCTTTTGGTTAACTTTTGCGTTCAAGCCGTAAGTCTAGCCACGTCTTTTCATCTGTAATATGTCAACACAGATGGTCCTGGCTTGCTGTCCTGACTCTGTTGGACTCAGTTATAATGTACAGCATCATTTGCATTTGGACGATGAATAGGCTAAACTATTTATAGCTCAGTATTTTCTTAAGTAACATGAGTGTATAGCCCTCACCCTGTATATCATAGTACGCCTTCATTTTTAGTGCAAATGTCCCTAAGACCCAGTTCAGAGAATTATAAATTATAAATCACTGGAGGGTAAATGAAGGCAGTTTCTATCCTCCCTGAGTGAGACAAGGCCTTAGAGGTGACCTAAGCTGGGCTTCTCAGCCTTCGATGCTCATAAGAATCACATGGAGGGTTTGTTAAAGCTCAGATTCCTGGGTCCCTCCTTGAGAGGTGACTCTGGGGGCGGGGTGAGCATTGCACTTCTGACAAGCTCCTAGGTGCTGCCGAAGCTGCTGGTCCATGGCCTCACCTTGACCTAGCGCTTTGCCTTGTGCGCGGATCCTAGCAAAGTTTGCACACGGGCAGCGGCCTCGCCATGTCCCTGGACAGTTCCTTTCCTCTTTAGAGAGCTCTGTTCATTGGAAGGCCCTCCCTTTGCTCAAGCCCAGCTCCTCTGCCTTGGGATTATCAGCCATTGCATTTGGCACCCTGGAACCATGCAAATTCTAACCTGTACCCACAGACTCACAGAATTTGGATTTGAGGTGATAGGAAGCAGAGTCTTCCTTTGGGGACTGATGGCACTTGTCAAAAGCCAGCGGGCTCCACATTGTTCCTCTCATCTCATGCTCAGAGATACACCAAGCCTCGCTTCTCATGGCTGGAGATTCACCACAAGCTGAAAATCTGGGAGCAGAGAAGCCGGGGGTGGGGCTCTCACAGCCCGGGGGCCCTTCGCTTCGCCTAGTGTGCGTGCGGGGCGCGAGTGAGCATGAGCGAGCACTTGGCCAGGGACGCAAGCGCCTCCCCTTCGGCACAAGGTCTTCGGCCGCAGAACTCACTCCTGCCCTCAATTCTGAGAACTTTCCACAAGACTCAGATGGTTTACTTTGAACACATGTGCATGGACAGAGCGAACTCCCTTCTTGATGGTTGACTGCAGTCAGGGTCAGCTCCGCCGTGCCCTGCTGTGTCCTTGGGGGAATCAAATCCACTTTGGAGCCTCAGGCATGGCTCGTGCGGGGGCCTCCAGACCCCGTGGGAGAGTCCTGAAGTCAGACCAGGGATGTTGTTTCCTGCTGGGTGGAGAGGTGGGCTCGACGCCGTGCGGGGTGGGGTAGTGGACCCGCGGCTGGTGACATGAGTTATAGGGAACACAGCAGCGAGGGCCTAACAAGGACGTCTGAGGGCTCCTCCTTGTGCCTGTCACTAAGGAATTAGTCTCATTTGTCCCAATTAGGGGAAATAAATCAAGGATTAATGTGAGGCTATCCAGAGGCAATGACTTCACTTTCTAAGGCATATTTTCTGCCTCATTTGTTTTTGGAAATTTGTCCTCCTTGTTCCTACACCCCTGGAAGAAAACAGAAATCTAGAGCCCATGTCTTCACAGCCCTGCCCCCACCCCATGTAACAGAGAGGGATGGAGGGACAATTGGCTAACGTGAAACACAGGAACCTGATTCCTCTGTTGATTCCCTCAGAAGATATGACCAGCCACTGATACCTTTCATTACTCCCTGATGCACACTTATTCTTTCATTCATTCTTTGGCTAACTTAATCATCCACTAGCCTTCTGATTTATCACTGACCCACTCATCCATCCATCTGCCCACTCAACCAGGTACTCACCTCACCATCCATCCATCCACTTACCCATCCATCCATTTACCCATCCACCCAACTATATGTCCAACCATCCAGTCATCCATCCACCATCCATCCGTCCACCCAACCATTCAATAATCAGCCCTCCATCCACAACCATCCATCCATCCACTTACCCATCCACCCAACTATATGATCAACCAGTCAATCATCCATCTACCCATCCATCCTTCCACCCAACCATTCAATAATCACCCCTCCATCCACCGCCTTCCATCCATCCATTTACCTACCTGTCCATCTGTCAATCCACCTATTTATCAACCTTTCATCCACCCACCCAACAGATATTTTTTTTAAGCATCTGTGTGTGCCATGTGCTGGATACAAGCTTGAAAACTATGGGTGTTTTGCTTCTGACATGCTCATGACCTGTTGGGGAAGACAGATGAGGAGGCTAGACCCCTCCCCTTAAACGTAGTTAATGGAAAGCATATGACTTCATTTCCTACATCTTGGATTTTAAGCCCATGCCTCTCCAGGCTGGCAAAGAACTTCACCCTCAGACATGGTTTGGGGCTTCTGTTTTCTCCCTACGGATGTGTAAAGATTCCCGGGGCTGCCTGATGTCAGGGCTTTGAGAGGAGAAGCCAACTGGTTCTTAAGTCACGTGTCCTCCAGTGCTTCAGTGGAGTCTTCCTTGGGCCAGGCTGTCCTGCCCTGAGCACAAGTTCTGCTGGGCGCCCACTGTGCTTTCTGCGTCTGCCCCAGCCCTCTCTGCGTAGAGCAGTGACTTGAACCTTGGCTGCACCTTTACACCAGCAGGGGGAGCTCTTAAAGCTCCTGAAGCTCAGGCTCCAGCCTACGCCAGTTAAACCAGAAACTCCAAGAATGGGATGTGCACTGGGACATTTTTATCTACAGCTTCCCCCGAAGGATTTCAGTGTGTCAGCAAGGGTGAGGAGGAACGGCGAGGAAGCCCACACAGCCTCCCTTGTCCCCGCCTCTCTTCTCTGCTCCTCTACCTGGGGCAGGAGGGGAGGGGGGCTCTGTTCAGTGTGCGGGCACCCTCCGTTTCCGGGTTTCTGGGGCTTTATGCCCCAGAGACATGCCCAGTCCAATGGAGGAAGGCCAGAGCACTGCTGGAGGGTGTGCCTGAGTGAGGGTAGAGGTGGGGGAGGAGGATGGAGGAGGTTGGGAAGGTGGCCTGCGCAGCTCAAAGGGTCCTTGAGACAGGTGCCCTGTAGAGGAGGAGGCAGCAGGTGCTGCGAGAACCTGGTCTCTGCCCTCACCAGGCCCCAGCCCTGGCGGCAGCGCTGCGGGGCGGCTGGCTCTCCACTCGGCTCTGAGCAGCCCCGGGGTGCAGCCGGTGCCTGCTCGCCCTGGGGTCGGGCCGGGACCTGGCCTGCTGACGGAGCCGGAGTCCATGCAGAGCCGGAGTCCGTGCACTGAGTGAAGGGAGGAGGGGGGAGGGCCTGTGCTCCCAGGCAGAGCCGGGCCCTCAGGGCGCTTGTCCACTGCAGGTCGTGTGGATCACAGCCACGCTGCCTTACTTCGTGCTGTTCGTGCTCCTGGTCCACGGCCTCACGCTGCCCGGCGCCTCCAGCGGCATCAGCGCCTACTTGCACATCGACTTCTACCGCCTGAAGGAGGCCACGGTCCGTGCCGGGGACCCCCCACCCGAGCGCCCGGGCTGGGGAGGGCTCTCGGGGCATGCAGTGGTAGGAAACCTGGCCCCAGCTCTGCTGAGCTCCTCCACCTGACCGATGCTGGTTTGATTTGCCCATCTGGCTCTGATGGCCTGGAATTGTGTCGCTCCTTTTGGTGGCCTCTGTCGACCCCTCTTTTCCAAGGGAGCAATGCTCTGCCCTGGCCTTTTATCCTGCCCTGGGCCGTGGCGCCTGGCCTCCCCCGGCCACTCCAGTCCCCAGCGCTGGTCTCAGCCGCCATCCTTGTCAGCCAGAGGGAGACCTGGACCTGCTGCCTCTCCTGTCACCCCCTCCAGCTCTGTGTCCTGGCTAGAGTCACAGATGACAACGAAGGGGTGAATTTGGAATGGGGCCCAAAGTAGTGGGGCGAGGCTGGGAGCAGACACAGTCTTGGCGGTACCAAAGCCTCGAGCATCTTCAAACCATGGCTGAGGGGCCCGCAGCCCCCTCCCTCAGTCCCGCCTCAGTGACAACCCTTCAGCAGTATTCTCACAGCCACACAGGACTGGGAGGGACCCCTCCCACGATGCACCCCAGAGTTGTGATGTAGCCACATACCACAGGGTTATAGCCCAGACACCAAGAGAAAAAAAGTATTTCCTTAGTAACTGTCACAAAGGGAGCAGAGCATAAGGCGTGGATCAGCCTTGTAAATTGTGAAACAGTCAGACTTCTATCTGCCCTGCGAGGGTTTAAATAGGCCGAGTCTTTCTGACATGTAGAAGCTGCACCTGGGGGCTGTCTCAGGGGGCAGCTCTGTCCTCCTTTCTGTACAGTTGCCTCTGTCGTTCCACCTTGTGCTGGCAAAGTAGGGGCAGCCCAGAGTCACGTGAGTAGGGAAATGATAGGCATCTCACCAGTCCTAGTGGCAGCTCTTAGTAGGGTGGGCTCTGTGTGATTATCCCCACGACGCAGGTGGGGGAACTGGTAGGCAGGGCCAGAAAGAGGACCTGGACTGGACCAGGCGGCCAGGGGCTCGGACCAGAGCTCAGATCTCTAGGCTACGTGTCACGTGCCTTCGTCACTCGAAAGATGGAGGAATAAGTGAACTCATTGGCCCCCAAGAGGCACCGCTGTGTGGCTGGTAGAAACTGCTAGAAACTTATTCCTTCCTGAAGATGCAGGCTCCATAACTCCCGAGATCGTCGTAACCCTCACTCAACCCACACGGCCTGGAACTGTTAGTTTATTACCTTTGACAATCGGGACATCCCATTGAGCCAGCAAGTTTCCCTCAAGACCACCCACCACCTGGAGATGCTAGAGAGACCCTGGGCTCTCTGCCCAGGCTTTGGGGGGTGGGGGGTGGCTTGCTGCCACCTCCGGTTCAGACCTCATCCCCTCGGGTCACGGGGCATCCCTGGGGTGTCCCGGCCCTTCTGGAGTGGTGAGGTAGTCCCCTTCCTGGGGTGGCCGAACGTGATGGCTTTTGTCTGCCCACCTCAGGTATGGATTGATGCTGCAACTCAGATATTTTTTTCCCTCGGGGCCGGATTTGGAGTCTTGATTGCATTTGCCAGTTACAACAAATTTGACAACAACTGCTACAGGTAAGGTCCTTCTGGAGGCTGGGCAGCACCGAATCCTGGCAGTGACAGGAGAGAGGCTCTGGTCTGGGACAAGGGATGGGTAGCTGGACAGAGGGACACAGTGTGGCTTTCAAGGCAGGCAGCACTGTCTGTCCATCCGGTGCCCAGGCAGCGAGGATGGGATCTCCAGGCTGGTCACGTGAGTCGTGAGGGACGGGCGGGCAGGCAGAAGTCTGCAGGGGGCAGCGGAGTCTGCAATGGGCACCGACGGGGCCTCTGTCCGTCCCTCCCTCTCAAAGGCCAAAGGCAGGACCACAGCCCCCCGGCACAAGACAGAGTAGGGTGATGTGAACCAGTGGGGTGGGCCGTAGGAAGACTAAGGAGATGGGGCGATTGGCCCTCTGGAGGGGGAGCCGCCTGGATGTGAGTTGGAGGTGGGCTTTGGAGGACGGTCAGGACTGTGACAGGCAGACACCGCGTGGGGGGCAGGCGTGGGGGGGAACAGCCTAAGCAACACCAGGGAGGTCACTTACCCCCCTGGTTTGACTGGATGGGAGCCTGGAAGGGAGGTTCAGGCATCTGAGCAGAGCTCTCGGTGGCCTGCTGAGAAGCCGCGAGACAGTGGGGAGCCATGGGAAGTGGGTTGAGGAAGGAGGCTGGCGACTCCGTTCCCCGACAAGGATTCGGTACCAGACCCTGGTCTCAGAGCGTTGCACCCAGAAGCTGAGCGCCTATTTCCTGCACCTGCAGGCCCTCACCCGGTTATGGAAGGGCCCTGGGTCCACGGGGCAGCAAGGCGACCGGAGGCGTGCGAGGCTGTGGATTCCCCAGGAGGCCAGTGGTCGATGAGCAGGGGCTGGGAAATTCTGGCGACTTGAACTAACAGTGACTCTTTCCCCCAGGGACGCCCTGCTCACCAGCACCATCAACTGTGTCACCAGCTTCATCTCCGGCTTTGCCATCTTCTCCATCCTCGGCTACATGGCCCATGAACACAAGGTCAACATCGAGGATGTTGCCACTGAAGGTGAGTGAGCAGACCGAGCCCAGGGAGGACGAGGGGGCTGAGAAACCCACCTCAGTCAAGGCCGCACAGACCTGTACTGGCGGTGGGGCTGAGCGTGCCCGACGGGGAGGTGTGCAAATCGCCCCTGGGATGGACTCTGGGGCCGTCAGTGGGAATTCCAGGCAGTGCTGGGCCCTGCGATGTAGCAGCGCCTTCCTGGGTCCGGCGGAGCATCGGCTCTGCTCCAGGCCGCAGGCTGAGCTCCGGACACACCTTCACTGAGTTCTCATGCGGGAGAGTGTGAGCGGGCCTGCTTTAGCCGTGAGAATGCTGAGGCTCAGGCTCAGTAGCCCGCGGTCCCCCCGCTGACTGCTCCGACCGTGGAGCCTGTGTCCTTCCCCACTGTTTCTGGTATTCTCGTGGCCACAAAGAAGCTGAGCCCTGAGGAGGGGCTGCTTCTCATGGCCCCCGAGGAGCCTGTGAGCGTAGAGGATCCCTCGCGGGGTGCAGGAGGCGGGCTCGCAGCACGTGGCCTGTGGCTGTCCGGGCGCGGTGCCGCTTTCTGGTCTGGCAGCCGGGTGTCTACCTCCTTGGCACACGGGTGAGCTGCAAGCTGGAGCTGGGCTCGTCTGTCCTCTTCAGACCCTTGGATTTTCTTGCCCACGCATGACTGACCAAGATCCGCGGGCCGGCCTGAGGCCGATGGAGCCTCACCATGCCCTCGTCCTACCTGCAGCTCAGACCCACTGTCCCAGGCGTTGATGAAGCCCTTGATGTTTCTTGCAGGAGCTGGTCTGGTGTTCATCCTGTACCCAGAAGCCATCTCCACACTGTCGGGGTCCACTTTCTGGGCTGTGGTGTTCTTCATCATGCTCCTGGCTCTGGGATTTGACAGCTCAGTAAGTGACCCTGCTCAGGAAACCCCCCACCCCCACGCACACCTCAGCCTCAAATTCCCACCATTCAAACCCCTGATTAGTAGTCCTTTCCAGAAGGCCCTATTTGAATGCAAACAAGGAAGTGAGTCCTCACTCAAAAAGGCAAGACATAAGCCACAGCCAGGAACCAGTAGAAACCCAGTTGCATCGTGGGAATCCACGCCACAGGGACTGCAGATCAGCCAGCCCAGCGCTCTCCTCTTGCGGACGGGGACTGAAATCGGAGAGGGTGCGGAGCGGGCGCTCTTCCCCTGTTCCTGTTATCACCAGCTAGCAGCCAAAGCCCTCGGAGCCTCATCCGTGTCTGAGGGCCTTTATCTGACCCATTGTAAGATGAGATTTCCCGGGCTCTCTCCATCTCTCTGTCCACCTTGAGCACATAGTGCCTGGAAGTCTGCAAGGGCTTAGAGTAGGGCTGGCAGACAGGTTTCCCCTCACGGCCTCCTCAGTGGGTGGAGCTGCCAGGAGCAGGGTGCCGGGAAGGGGCCTGAGGCTGCTTCTGGGCCCTTAGGAGGGGGTCCTGATTTTGCTGAGTGTTGCCTGCCAAGGGAAGGGTCATGCCCGTGGCTGACTGAGAGCGGTGGCCCGTATGCTACTTGTCTGCTGTCCCAGGCTCAGGGGTCACGTAAGCAAACACTTGAGGATGACCCATACGAGGCCATAAAGAGTAAACTAGCCCAGCGCCGTGGGCTCTGCGACCCCTTCACACTCTGGGTAATGAGGAAAGTAGCTGTAATGCTCGTCGGAAGCTGCTGCCTGTGTCCAGCACTAGAAGCTCCCCTTTGTGGCTGGTTCCAGAAAATTCCGCTCACATGCTGCTACGTTACCTGGGCGTTGGGCATTTTATGCCTTTCACACTCCTGTAGCTCATCTGAACCCACTGGGGCTGAGTGAGGGGGTGGGAGACAGGTGCCTGTTGATCAGGGGGTGGTGGGGAGTAACCTGTTCACCCTGCACCGTGTGGTTTCTGAGTCCCGATTTTGGTTGAGAAGGGGACAGATGTCGGGGAAGAGGCTGGGAGGCAGGCAGTACCGGCCGATTTCTCCGGCGGGTGAGAGTCGGGGTGAGCCTGAGCCGGAGCCTGGGGCGCAGGGAGCCCCTGCTTCCTGCGCCCACCCTGCCTGGTTCCCCCCAGATGGGAGGCATGGAGGCGGTCATCACGGGCCTGGCTGATGACTTCCAGGTCCTGAAGCGACACCGGAAACTCTTCACGTTTGGCGTCACCTTTAGCACCTTCCTCCTGGCCCTGTTTTGCATAACCAAGGTGAGGCGAGGCTGCGGCCGGGGTCGCCTCCCGTTTGTGGGGATGCTTTTCAATCCATCAGACATGTCCAGCCTCGGAGCTGGCGTGGACTGGGCAGGGCAGGGCCCTGAGCTCGGGGCAAACTGGACATCCTTACTTACCCCTGTAGCCTGATCCTCTAGGGACATGCCCCGTTGTCACCTGTCACCCCTGAGCCTTGGGTCGCCAGACACCCCTGTTGCGAGAGGGAGCAAAATCCCTTTGATGCCCTCAGACCTTGGGACTCTGGAAGGCCTTTGTCAGAACACACACAGGCGACCTCAGTACAGTAGCCCCCAAACCCTGTCACCCACATTCTCAGACTGGGTTCTGAGCCCGTGGGACAGGCGGCAGGGGACAGGCACATTGTGGTGGATGTAACAAGATGGCCTCAAGCGCTCTCCCTTCGCGCCCCAGGGTGGGATATACGTGCTGACCCTGCTGGACACGTTCGCGGCCGGCACCTCCATCCTCTTCGCTGTGCTCATGGAAGCCATCGGCGTCTCCTGGTTTTACGGTGCGTGCTGGGCCCTGAGTGCGAGGAACCCCGTGTTCCTGGACACTTTTGCCCTGGAACACAAAGGGGCTTCTGTGTCTGGCCGGCTCCTTGTCAGGAGCAGCTCCCCCAGCCCGCGGCTCATCTTTGGGGGAACCGGACCCCCTTAAGCTGGGGCTGCAAAGGGCCCAAAGGCCCCCCCGCATCAGCTTTTAAAGAGGGACTTGAGGAAACTGCCGCTCCCAAGGCCTGTCATTCACTCTAAAGCGGGGGCCAGACTCAGCAGAGAGAAGACAAGGTGCCCTGTTACGCTTGCGTTTCAGATAAGCTGTGCATAATTGTTTTCTGTTGCTCCCCACTTGGGAATTGTTTTCCCAAATGTCACACGGGACACACTTAAACTAAGACCGGCTTCATTGTCTGTCTGAAGTTCACGTGTAACCGGGAGTCCTATGTTTTGCCTGGCAAACTTTTTCTGCAGCTGAGGAGGTATAAGGTGTCACCAAGTGTCAAGTGTGTTGCCGCTGTTGATTTCTCCCCGCCCCCACCCCGTGTCATATCCGCGTGAGTCCTGTTCTCAGTCTTTCCCACAAGTCAGAAAGGGGTTTTGGTGTGAGCCTGGGCCCTTCTGCCGGACCAAAGTCCCAGAAAGCAGTGTCCACAGCCTCATGGTTTAGGAGTGTGAACAAGAGGGGGATCCAGGCTTTGGAGTCAGGATGACCTGGCAGTGAGACCTGGGCAAGTCCCCTCCCCTCCCCGAGCTCCATCTCCCTCTGGAAAGTGAATTCGGGTGGCAGGTCGGTGACCCTGTCTGTGAGTGTGTCCTCTCCCTGTTCTGCCCCCGCCAGGGCCCGTCCCCAGGAACGAGTGCTGGGTGCCGGGCCCTGCCTCACCGCCTGCTCCCTGCCCCGGGCTCCGCAGGGCCGCGGTGACAGGCCTGTATGTGTGCCCAGGTGTGGACCGGTTCAGCAACGACATCCAGCAGATGATGGGGTTCAGGCCGGGCCTGTACTGGAGGCTGTGCTGGAAGTTTATCAGCCCCGCCTTCCTCCTGGTGCGTATGTGGGGCCGGGCGCCCTGGGTCTGGGGGCTTGCCTGGGGTGGGGGGGTGGGCACGTTGGCTTCGTAGGGGAGGAGGTTCTGGGATGGCGAGTCCTGGTTGTGGGGACAGGACACGGGGGACGCTCAGGCCTGGTGACGCGGTGTTGGACGCTCACCCCAGCGGGGTCTCCAGCCTGGGCCAGTGCTCCGCCCAGCTCCAAGGTCACTGGTCCATTCTTCTCCTTTTCTCGCTCCCCGTGTCTTGATCTCCTTGTTATCATTCGCTTCTTGGACTCTTTCTTCTTTCTCTGTTTTCTCCGCTCCTGCCCCGCCCCCCGCGTCCCCCCTCCCACCCCTCTGCCTGCCCTCTGCCCTCCCCGCAGTTCGTGGTGGTGGTGAGCATCATCAACTTCAAGCAGCTCACCTACGACGACTACATCTTCCCGCTCTGGGCTAACTGGGTCGGGTGGGGCATCGCGCTCTCCTCCATGACGCTGGTGCCCGCCTACGTGGCCTACAAGTTCCTGAAGACGCGGGGTTCCCTGTGGGAGGTGAGCTCGGGCCGCGGGGGGTGGGCGGGGGCGCTAGGGGAGGGGGCATCCGAGCCATTCCTGTCGGAGTGAGAGGGGAGACAGGACAGGGACTCTAGGGTCAGGCGGACCCACCATGACCCTCGGTTTCCATACTTATAACCTGGGGACAGTCATGTGGATCTTAAATGAAAGGAGCACGCTTTGCACCGCAGCTGCACGTGGCAGACATTCAACACGTGTTGCTGGCCACTGTGTGGCATGTCATGAGCACAATGACATACATTCTCCTTCTGCTGTTCCCACTGGGGCTTATGGGAGAAGGTGACGCTCAGCTCTCTAGTCCTCTAAGGACAAGTTAGACATGTGGCCTTAATGGCCACCGCCCCCGCCCCAAGCCGTGTCCCTTTGTAAGGTTTGCCATGTCCCCAGATGGCCTGGCCGTCCGGGTCCAAGCTCACCATGGCCTAGTATCTTGGCTTGTTCCTGCCTCTTTCCTGAGCCTGGACCCGAATCTGACTCGCCTAAGCCAGGGACCTGCGGGATACGCTTTCTTCTCTTACCACGAGCGCTGCTGGGCACGTGCAATACAGACAAGTGTTTGGGAAGTAGTGGCCTCGACCCTGGAATGACATCTTTCCCGCTCTTGGGTTATCGAAATGCCATGTCTCTGAGGAATAGCGGAGAAGGCCTTTTCCTCACGTCCTTACTTTGCACGATAGAGAGCCCGTCCCTCCATTGCTTCACCCCTCCCTTCACGGCACGGCTGCGGGTCTGCACGGCCCAGCACAGACAGGCTTTCCTGGAGCTCACTCTCCTGGGAGGGGCCGGCGAACCACTGAGGACGTGAGTGAGGGAGCTGCACAAGCACTTAGGCCAGAGGGTCGCAGGCAAGGCTGCGGCTGCCGCCCCCACTTCCTTGTGGCACGTCCCTGAAATTCGAAGTCCAAGAGCTTCTGGGTCACCTGAAGGGTCCAGATTCTGGGGGCTCATCCCAGACATGGAAACCTGGACCTGCTTCCAGCTTTCTATTCTCCCCACATTGGGAGCGGGCTCCCCGCCACCTGGAGATCAGTCCCCGAGCCCCACCCTGGGGAGGCCTACCCTCTGCCCCGGGAGGGCGGGTCCCATCTTCTGGGCTCTGCGCTCTGTGCCGGCCCTCCCCAGCACTTACTCCCATTGCGGTGCTACACTTGCACGTGTGTTTAGTTTTTCAATGCCCACCCCTCCCACGAGCCGCACGCTCCGCCAAAGCGGGGGCTGCATGGGTCTCCTCAGCTCTGGGCCCCCAGTGACTGCCCATAGCACCCAGACGAATGACTCAGTGAGCCGACCATGGTAGGGTGTCTTGTATGGACCTCGTACACTGTCCATGTGGGACTTCAGGCCCAAATAGCAGGGGGGCCTTATCCAGGGGCTCCGCCTGGGCCTCTGGGCCTAGCTGAGGCCTCCCCCGGTCCCCCACCTCCCACAGAGACTGGCCTATGGCATCACACCTGAGAACGAGCACCACCTGGTGGCCCAGAGGAACGTCAGGCAGTTCCAGGTGGGTGCAGCCGACTTTCGGGGCCGGGGCCTGGGGAGGACCTTCGCTGCTCCCTGCTGGGCCCTGGGAGTGCCAGGCCGGGCCCCCTGCCCCCTGCGCAGTGGGCCGGAGCTCACGAGGGTCTGGTGTTAGGAGTGGGTGTGTCCCCTGCCTTCTGCCGGCTTCCGCTGGCCCCTCTGGTCTTTGGTCTGGAAATGCCAAGTCCCCAAACTTCGCTAAGCTCTATTCTCCTGCTCTGAGTTGTCACCATGGAGTATCGCCAAGCTAGACTGAGGATCCCTTGTCTTGAAGGAAGCTCTGTGGGCACACCGGTAATATGTTGACCAGAGTCCCAACTTGTTTCCCTTAGAAACAGCCATGGCAGGGGGTCGGGGAGGGGCCCCGTGAGCTCCTTGCTTTGGGCTTGCCATGCCACTTCGGGAAGCCTCCTTTGCCCTCTTTGAGCCGCAGCAGCAATCAGGGAACCCAGAGCCTGCGTGTCCTCCGGGTCTTGGGAGGGAGGGGGTGTTGTCCGCTCGCTGTGCTTTGCAGCAGGCCCTGGGCCCCCCAGTCCCCGCCTGTCCCCACCACCGGCACTAAGGCCTGGAATGTCCCCCGCAGTTGCAACACTGGCTGGCCATCTGAACCGGCCCCGAGGAGGACGGCCGTGGCGCCAGCGCCCAGGCCGAGGTGTCGGCTTCGCTCCCGCCTGGATGCTGTCCAGGGGCTCCTCTCCGGCAGGTGCCCTTCCTGACGCCCCTCCTCTCGTCCCCTTTCCAAATGATGCCGTCGTCTGGTTTCCCCTCACCTTCTGTTCGTCGGGCCTGGGGGCTGTGAGCTTTGACTGGCGAGCCTCACGGGCGAAGAGGACAGGCGGGAACAGGACCAAAGGACTTTATGCACGACCCGTGGACGTGAACGGGAGGGAAGGGGATATCGGGTGGAGGGGGGCAAAAGGGGAAAATCGGGACAGCTGTAATAGCATCACCAATATAATATACTTAAAAAAAGTAGAGAACTGAAAAAAAAAAAAAAAGACCTTTGTCGAATCTCTTGTTTTGAGGATTCTCACCCAATTTGAGAGACAGCCCAGGCTGGGTCCATGGCTCGGGCGGAATTCCCCGCCACGTCTGCTTGTCCTGTGGGCCCCAGGAGAAGCCCTTGGGCCATGCAGTGTGGGCGGGGGGGTGGGGGGCAGGGGGTTGCTGTGGTTGGACAGCACAAACCGGACACCGACCAAAAGCCTGACGGAGCCCGGGGGTGGTGTCCCTGGGTCTCCCCTCCCCTACATGCCCTCGCGTGGCCCCCATTGGCCCTCCGGGGCCTGAACCGGGCTCGGGAGCCTGGGTGCGCCTGTCGCTGTCGGGAGACCCATGGAGAGGGGCTCTGGGCGATCTCCAACACAAACTCTCTTGGTCCGTTTTCACCCTGGCCAAAGGGAGCCTGGCTGGTGTGTTCTGCAGCCGTCTTCCAGCTTCTGGTGGCCAGGCGATTCGGAGCCATGGGCGTCACAGCGGGCGGCCACGGAAGAGCCAGACAGGCTCGCAGGGGCCACGCGAGGTCTCACTCTGCCAGGCACGTGGAGCCCAGAAGCCCATCTGTGGTTCCTGAGACCTTCCTGGGACACGGGGTCAGGGACCCGGTGAGGCCAGCCGTGCGTATGTCCTGTGGCCCCTCTGCTGTGCCCTCGAGGCCAGGAGGGTGCCCGAGGGCCGCCTGACAGACCATCTGTCCGCCCGCAGACTCCTGCACAGTCTTTCCCTGGAAATCCCACCCAGCGTGGCCCGCGGTCTCAGCCGATGGCGAGTTGCCCCTGGAAGCTCCCTTTGTCTCTCATCATGGACTAAACGCGGCACTCAAGGGGCAGGGTGGAACCAAGCACAGCAATCTGGTCACGCAGGTTGAGGGGGACAATGTTCTGCGTTGATCGTTGGAGGCTGTAGAGAATTTCTAGGTTGACTTCCAATAGACACTCATGAGTGGTGCCCTCTGGTGGTGGTAGTGGTTAGTTTCAGCTCATTCAGAGAAAGGATTCCTAATTTGATTAAGGCGGTGGCAACTATTTGGGGTTTCTGTTTATGGTTTGAGCCTCTTACGCCTGCATTGAAAATCTGTGCTTGGGAGTTCTTATTGTGGCAGTGGAGTCCCTGCTGAGTCAGGGTCCTTGGGTCATTGTTTGGAGAAAAGAGGGGCATCAGGAGACTTTTGATCTTTCCATATAAAAACCCCAGCTCAGAGTCTGAGGCAGCCCCGCTGGAAGGCAAGGCCTGGGAGCAGCCACCGGCCTGGAGCCATGAGGTGGCGGTCCGGGCCCCCAGAGCAGGGTGGCCGGCACTGATGGTGTCCTGAAGGGACTGTGCATCCTCCCAGGAAGGACAACGCCTCTCCAACTGTTCCCTTTTTTTTTTTAACCAGCAGTGTCACCCATGCTGCCTCCTGCCTGCCCAGCGAGGCCCGCAAGGGTGGCTTCTGCCTCCCCATTTCCCGGATGAGAAAACCAAGGCCCGGCATTTCAGATTCTCAGCTGCTAAGGCATCCCGTCGGACCCTCAGCGTAGACCCCCGGCTCCCTGCCCAGGGCCCTCTGAAACTCCCTGCCCGATATGGTTCACCCACACAGGGCTGTTCTTCCAAATGCACAGAAATGCAGTCACGGGGCCAAGGAGGGTTTCTGAGCAAAGAACAAGGTGTCGGATGAAAGGAAGAGGGGAGATGATGGCATTCATTCTCCTCCAGCTGGTCGCCGGGAGGAAGGGAGGCAGCTACTCTCGTTGGATGAAAGAGCCTTTCGGGGAGAGCAGGGTGGGAAAGCGAGTCCACATGGCTGAAATGAGCGCGTCCAGAAAGCCCGTGCATGTCAGAATAGGGATGCACTTCAGAAGGAGCCTGCAGTTATTTTCTCTGCCGTCTGCAGGTGACCCTTCTGCCTCCAGACAGGTCTCCCAAAGGCGCATCGGTGATGTGGTGCTGGCTCAACTAGCCCCAAACCAGCGCAACAGAGCTGCCTTGTGGAGGGGCGTGGCCTCTGAGCCTGGCGTTGGGGGAAGCTGGCCCCAAGCCCGGACCCCTGGGGAGGCGGGGGATCCTGAAGTCCTTGTAAGTCCTCACGGAGGTGCTAGGAGACCCCTGGGTCCCTCCTCCACCCACGGTTAATGGGCTTTGCCCTAAGGAGTGCTTGGCTTCTTTTTCACGCCCCCCGCCCTTTTTTTTATAACAAAGGTTACCCAGGATAAGGGCTCTCCTGTGTACTGTACATGGCAATTTTGACATTTTACAAGATTTTAAAAGAATTATTACTTTCCGTAAATGTACAATATTTGTTTAAGACAATCAGGTTACCTTCTACGCAACATCTAGTTTGATATCATCCGTCTGGTAGCTGGTCTTTATTCTCGATGCAGGCGACACCAGGGAGGAGGAGGTGGCCAGCTCTGGCTGAACAGCCTGCTGAATGAAGGTCCCCAAAGCCGCCTTGGTTCTCAGAGGGGGTTCCCCCCCAGGTGGGAGCCAGTCTGTTTGTGCAGCATCTCTTCTGCTGACGTGGTAATGTGAGACCGAAACATGCTTACCAAAGAAGCCATTTCTTAGTAAAGAAGCCATGTGCTTCCTTTGAATGCCGTGGAATGGAGAGGAACAGGGACGGACCATAGCGTGTTGGGAACAGACCGTAGCATGTGGAATTGCCGCTGACCAGCCAGGTTCCGGGGGAGAGCAGTTTCATCTCTCTGAGGTTCAACATCCTTTGCCTGTAAAAGCAGGGTTGGGTCAGACAGTCCAAGGTCCCATCCAGTTAAAAAATTTCACGTCTGCCTGACAATGTTTTGGGCTAAATTTACACTAAAGAAAGCACATCATTTACGACAGGACCTTCCAGAATGATCTGATGACTGATAAACAACTTGTGGAGCAGAGAAATGTCAGATCAGATTTCTGGCCTCTACAACTTTTGATTTATTTATTTTTATTTTTGACATTCAATACTTTCTTTCTCTTCAATATGTCTTCAACGTATGCTGGAAACACTTGGTATTTAAAAAACATAAAATCCTACCCTTCTGTTCTGAGGATGCTGGAGGAAACCTGTTGGCCCGATCCAAGAAAACCCAGGATCCACGAGGCTGTGGACGCGCCAGAGGACCACTGCAGCCGCCAACACATCTCCAAACTACCGGTGCGCGGGAACTCGCTCTTGGGTGCCCGCCCTCGCCCCTCCGTTTCCCCTCCGTGTCTGTGTAGATAAGGACTGTTGCCACGGTGTCCTCTCTGTGTCAGGGACTGTTCCAGTGCCACTCAGATATCTCCGTTTAGTGTGGATGTGTTTTATAAGCTGTTCTCTCTGTGGAAAAGTAGCTGTACAGAATAATAAAGGCTATTCCTGCGCCATGTATCTGGTGGTGGAGTCCTTTCTGTCACGAAGGTAACAATGATACAATTATGTAGGTTTGTCTATGATCAGTCCCCAGCCGGTACAGAAGAGCTTCTGGTCAGAGGGCCCACTTCCCACTTAAATAACTTTCTTTAATGCCCTGAGGAGCAGGGGACTGAAGGCGGTCAGTAGTCCTAGCTCTGAGATGGGCGCGCTGATACTTAGATGGGAGGTAGGCACCCAGGGACCCCAGGCGCGTTGTCTGCTTTTGCTTTTTCATCTCCAGGGCAGTTTCTCCATCGCCCTGCATCGCAGGGACGCTTCATTTTAATCCACCCCACATCAAATCCATCATCAAATTTGTTTTCCTGACAATTACCCCGCAAGCGAGGCAGCCCCAAGACAAGTTCGCCCACTGGACAGAGGAGGAAGTTGAGGGCTGGGCTGAGCAGTGAGCCCCCCAAGGCCCACTGAGGGGCACAGTCCGTGGAACTGTGGTGGTCCGGACAGGTGCCCCAGAGCCGTCAGAAAGGGCAGCAAGGCTCTGAAGAGGGGGACATCAAGTGACGGCTTGTTGCAGGGGAATGGTAAGGTCCCTTTGTCACACAGCCCCCAACAGAACAGCCCAAGCGAGCCTGGATGGGCAGATGTCGTTAGAAGGCAGGGCTATGGAAGTGTTTCAGACCCACAGAGCCCATCTGGGACCGGCTACTCTGAGGTTGCGACTGAGTCACAGCAGAAAAGGCATCCTTATCACCAGAATGAGAAGGTTGGCTTAGGTGTTCCTGGAAAGTCCCTTGTGTCATGGTTCTCTAAGGCACTCCCAGGGAGCTCGCACAGCCGACGACTGAGCAGTTCACACTAAGAGGTGAATGACTGCCTTTCTAGGCAGAGACCGAGGGTCCGGCTGGGCGTTGCTGCCTTTTGCCTGTCCTGCCGTTTCCAAGCAGCCTCCATTTCCCCGCAGACCTCTGCGACTGCAGCGTGAAGGGAGCTATATTTACAAAACAGCTGGAGGCTGGCATGGTCTGCAAGCTGTGGTCTGCCCTGGTTTGGTGGAAAGAACAAAGGGTTCGGAGTCAGACTCAACCGGGCCTTGAAGCCCAGTTCTACCACCTGCTGCTATGGAATCTTGAAGAAAGTTACATGAAACCTCCGACGACTTCTTACGTCTGAGAGGCGGGAATAAGACCACACAAGAGTGTTATCAGGAGCGTCAGATGTGGGGCACCAAGAACAACTGCTCTGGAGCCGTGGCGCCTGGATCCACAGCCTGGTTCCATCGTGCACACGGGGAAAACTTGGGCAAGGTACTGACCTGCTTCAGGGGGTCACCGCTACATTGGAGAGACCACAGGGACCACTTCATAGGGTTGTGGGGAGGGTGGACTGTGAGTATTGTATTCAGAATAGTACCTGCTTACACAGCTTGTCATCGGATGTATTGTACCTATCAGCTACGTCATGCGTGTCTGTTTCTTCTCCCTCTTATTTGCTTCTGCCCGTTTCAGAGGCAGCCCACCTACTACTCTCTT